AAAAAGCGTTGTGGTATGTGTATTTGGAGTGTTCGGAATAAGTACTGTAGCTTTGGTAGTATCATCATTTTTGCTGCCGCTATTCTCCCCGGCCATGAAATGTATTTCCCTTTCCAGCTATACATCTGTTGTTTAATAGCAGCAAGTAACTTTAGATAGTTTGCTTTATACATCTTCTTTATTTTGGGTGTGAGGTGGATCCCTAGAAATGTCAGGTGGTCCTTTCTCCAGTCATATGTATGTTCGTTCTTCAGTTTAATGAGTTGGTCTGTGGTGAGATTAAGGCCCATGGCCTGTGTTTTATTGATATTAAGTTTATAATAGGAGCATTCACTGAATTTCGTCAGTATTTTTTGGAGATGCGGCAATGTGGTGTCGGGTCTAGATAGGGTGAGCATTACATCGTCCGCGAATAGGGTGATCTTATGTGTTTTCCCCCCTATTGTGATCCCCGCGATGTCATTGTAGTCTCTTATATGTTGCGCTAGGGGTTCTAACGCCAGTATGTAAAGCAGTGGGGAAAGTGGGCATCCCTGCCTGGACCCATTAGAGACATGGAATAACTTGGAGGTGAAGCCTCCGTTCGTTATCTTCGCTGCCGGGTTATTATATAGTGCTGCAACCAGGGCCGGCCTTAGGGGTGTGCGAGCTGTGCGGCCGCACAGGGCGCCATGCCAACAGGGGCGCCGGGCAACCAACACAGCTCGCACAACCAGGTCCTGCCCTACCTCAGAGCGCCCTGGTGGGTGAAAGATTGCGCCCCAGCCGGCCAACCCAGAGTGTGCTCTGCTTTGGTATTGGCTGGTGAGTAGATTGAGGACCTCCCTCACTGGCCCGCTGTTTGGATGATGGGAGCGAGCATTGAGCGCTTTAAATCTGCTCTCCTCTCGCAAGCTTGGCATTCAGAGTGTTGCCGTGGCAACACTCTCATACTATCAACGCAGAGCTTGCTAGAGGAGGGCTCGTGTTCTGAAAGGACTGGCAGAGACCGCTGGACCACCAGGTCATCAGTATTCCCCCATCCCTGCCCAAAGGTATGCAAGAATGAGGGGGGCAGAAGGGGGGAATCAACATTAATTAATTTTAAGAAAACAAAACCTGAAATTGCTCTCCCATCTCCTCATTTAAAGCCTTATGTCACCCCCTCCTACCCACAAATCATCACTATCCCACCCTTACTGTGTTACCTACACACACTCCATAACACACACACACACACACTACATAATCTACTCACGCACGCACACTACATAATCTACTCACACACAGCATCCCCTATACACACACTACATAATCTACTCACACACACACACACGCACACGCCATAATCTACTCACATAAACACTATATAATCCACACACACCACATAATCTACTCACACATTACATAATCTACTCACACACAACGCTCTCTATAAACACACTTTGTTCTCTACACACATACACACTAGATATCTCACAAACACTACAAAATGTACAGACACACTATGCTCCCTATATATACACACTACGTAACTTGCACCCATACACACTACACACACACACACTATGTTCCCTAAACACATACACACTATATACCCTATGCACACACTGTTTCCTACACACATACACACTACATCCCCTTTACACACACACACATTACATAACCTACACACACACACACATTACCTAACCTACACACACAAACACGCTACATCCCTATTCCACACACAACATAATGGCATGGCAATTTCAGGGAGTCAGGACACTCTTGTTAGAAATGTGTTTTTACTCCTAATGCTTGAGTGTTCCTTCACATAGGTTTGTTTTTCCCAAATCTATACACGTGGGAGGAATTCTTCTAGCCCATATATATATAATTTTCTGCTCATGATTTCTGAGAGTAATATTTAAATATACATGTATATTAATATGGGTGTATTATTATTATTATATGTTTTATTACACCTATAATATTTACTATATTTACTTTATTAATATACGTGTATATGTATGATATGTCCAGAAATCACGTTAATACGTAACACCTATGTAATGGACTTTTTACAAGATGGATGAGGGCATGTGACCATGGAGGGGCGCTGTGAATATTTTTCGCACAGGGCGCCTAAAGGCCTAAGGCCGGCCCTGCTCGTGGTATAACGAGTAGGGGCATAATTTACTAATACTAAGTAACTACTAAGCGCAGTTGTAAGCATTCTAATTGTTTTGCTGCTAAACTGCTAAATAGTACATTTTGGGCGTGCTCATCATATCTGAGAGTCAAATATAAGCGTCTAATAATGCTCTTACTGTGCAGTTGTAAAAATTCTAATTGTTTTGGTGCTAAACTGCTAAATAGTAAATTTTGGGGGTGCTCTTCATATCTGAGAGTCAAATCGAAGCGTCTAATAGTGCGTTTACTGCGCAGTTGTAAAAATTCGAATTGTTTTGGTGCTAAACTGCTAAATAGTACATTTTGGGGGTGCTCTTCATATCTGAGAGTCAAATCGAAGCCTCTAATAGTGCGCTTAGAGCGCAGTTGTAAACATTCTTATTGTTTTGGTGCTAAACTGCTAAATAGTACATTTTGGGGCGTGCACTTCATATCTGAGAGTCAAATAGAAGCATCTAATAGTGCGCTTACAGCGCACTTACAAACATTCTAATTGTTTTGCAGCTAATCTGCTAAATAGTACATTTTGGGGCCAGCTCTTCATATCTGAGAGTCAAATTGAAGCGTCTAATAGTGCGCTTACTGCGCAGTTGTAAAAATTCGAATTGTTTTGGTGCTAAACTGCTAAATAGTACATTTTGGGGGTGCTCTTCATATCTGAGAGTCAAATCGAAGCCTCTAATAGTGCGCTTAGAGCGCAGTTGTAAACATTCTTATTGTTTTGGTGCTAAACTGCTAAATAGTACATTTTGGGGCGTGCACTTCATATCTGAGAGTCAAATAGAAGCATCTAATAGTGCAATTACAGCGCAGTTGTAAAAATTCGAATTGTTTTGGTGCTAAACTGCTAAATAGTACATTTTGGGGGTGCTCTTCATATCTGAGAGTCAAATCGAAGCCTCTAATAGTGCGCTTAGAGCGCAGTTGTAAACATTCTTATTGTTTTGGTGCTAAACTGCTAAATAGTACATTTTGGGGCGTGCACTTCATATCTGAGAGTCAAATAGAAGCATCTAATAGTGCGCTTACAGCGCACTTACAAACATTCTAATTGTTTTGCAGCTAATCTGCTAAATAGTACATTTTGGGGCCTGCTCTTCATATCTGAGAGTCAAATAGAAGCGTCTAATAGTGCACTTACTGCGCAGTTTTAAAAATTCGAATTTTTTTGCTGCTAATCTGCTAAATAGTACATTTTGGGGTGCTCTTCATATCTGAGAGTCAAATAGAAGCATCTAATAGTGTGCTTACAGCGCAGTTGTAAAAATTCTTATTGTTTTGCTGCTAATCTGCTAAATAGTACATTTTGGGGCGCTCTTCATATCTGAGAGTCAAATAGAAGCATCTAATAGTGCGCTTACTGCGCAGTTGTAAAAATTCTTATTGTTTTGCTGCTAATCTGCTAAATAGTACATTTTGGGGCCTGCTCTTCATATCTGAGAGTCAAATAGAAGTGTCTAATAGTGTGCTTACTGCGCACTTGTAAACGTTCTTATTGTTTTGCGTCTAATCTGCTAAATAGTACATTTTGGGGCCTGCTCTTGATATCTGAGAGTCCAATAGAAGCGTCTAATAGTGCGCTTACTGCGCAGTTGTAAACATTCTAATTATTTTGCTGTTAATCTGCTAAATAGTACATTTTGGGGCCTGCTCTTCATATCTGAGAGTCAAATCGAAGCGTCTAATAGTGCGCTTACTGCACAGTTGTAAAGATTCTTATTGTTTTGGTGCTAAACTGCTAAATAGTAAATTTTGGGGGTGTTCTTCATATCTGAGAGTCAAATCGAAGCGTAACTTTGATTCGAATTAACTACATTGGTCACTTGTAATATTGTTTCACACCTACAACACTTGTTACACAGATCTAAGTGATAGAAAACAGATTGATATTTTCTACACTAGAAACTACCAGATAACAAGCTGCTATATTTAAACCAGTTATCAATAGCTAAGAGGTACTTAAACAATATTGTAATTTTGGGGCAATTCCCTCACAAGTCAAACTGAGAGGTCAGTTTATAGGGAAAACTGTTGCCTGGATACAATTCTAAAACAATGTCCATATGTCCTTTGCAGACTTTACATGCTGGAAAAACACAGGTGCCAACTGCTGTGGCTTTCTGCAGTGTGCATCCCGGCAAGGAGGGCAGGGTTGAGGAGTGGGTGGAAGATGATGTGGAGAATGATATCCTAGACCCCACATGGAATCAAGGTCATGCGAGTGACGTGTGCAGTTTGGAGGAAGAGGTGCTGGTCGCACAGAGGCACCAGCCCATCATAAGCATTTAACGATCCATTCGTAGTTTCACAGTCAGGTGGGCAGTCCGGTGACCGGGACCCAGGATGCCTGATGTTGAAGTTAGGTATCACAGTGTGGAATGGATTAACAGGGTCTGGTGCAGGGTAACCGCACGCCCCCTGGTGTTGAGCACCAACGTTTTGCCACATACCAGGACCCAGATGCAGCTTCAGTAAAAAGAGTACTGGATATCAGAAGCTATCCCCAGAATGATCCGCAACTTGGAACAGGATGTGACATTCACTGTAGCGGCTGTGCATGCTTTCGGCGTTCTCACCCTGCTGCTGCTCGCCTGTCTGCGCTGCAGAGTAAGTTATCCCTTCCCGCTCACTCCCTCGTATGCGACGTGCCCACAAGGTGTAACTCCACCTTGCACATGCTGGAGAGACTGTTTGAGTAGCAGTAGGCGATAGTGGAGTTTCAGCTGCAGCACGCACGGGCCAGTGGCTCTGCACCAGACTTCCCTCCAATTGATCAGAGTTAAAGGATTTCAAGTGGACTCAATACAATTACAGGGCCTCTAAAGAGTCCTGTATTGTTATTTGTCGTTACTACCTTCCCGCGTCGGGAGTGGGTCATTTGCGCGCCTGCTGCCTTCCTTGCATGTGGTAGCCAGTTGTCAGGGTCCCTGTATGGAATGGAACCCTGATTCCCCATTACCCGTGGTCACCATGGTAGGCACAGTCAATGGCATCGAAAGTTGATATGGATTGACATACGAATGCAAAGTCGCCGTCACGGGGATGTGCGATTGGCCCAAGGTTCTCTAGAATCAACAAAGTGCCTGCGCAACTATAATGTCAACAGCTACTCTGCGGAACAGAGTTGTCTTTTTTTATATGTCCCAATATTTTTGGGGATACCCCAATTAAAAAAAATATATATATAGATAAAAAACAGTGTTGTCTACCTCCTCCTCCTCCACAGCCGCTTCCACCTACACCGCCACGGTCACCGTCTCCTCAACCTATGGGTCACTTAGTATAAACTATGTACACAATAGCAGAGGCTTGTGAAGGCCTTTTCTAAATGCATCAGGAGTTGAGCATTTCTCCATGCATCAGGACTGCAAGAAATGCACCGCTGGCCGCAAATGTTTCTTTTTTTATATGTCCCAATATTTTGGGGGGCTTCCCCAATTTAAAAAAAAATATATATATAAAAAACAGTGTTGGCTACCTCCTCCTCCACCGCTGCTTCCACCTACACCGCCACGGTCACCGCCTCCTCAACCTATGGGTCACTTAGTATAAACTATGTACAGCAGAGGCTTGTAAAGGCCTTTGCTCCATGCATCAGGAGTTGAGCTCAGTTTGAACAATGAAAGAGAATACCCTGCACTCCAACCCTCTCTCAAATGGATAATTACGGTTATCCTCCTGACAGCCATGCTTTAGATTTTGATTTATGTTCTTCCAAAGCTAAATTCAAAGATTCCATCTAGTGCTATTTTATGGCTCAGCTGTATTTTAAATTTTTATGTTATTTTAAATGATTTCCCTATCCACATTTGTTTGCAGGGCACTTGTCCTACGCTTACCCACATTTTACTTCAGTTTGCAGCTCTCTAGCCCTTTCCAAGAGTTTTTTAGAGGCATTTGTGTGCCCAAAAGTTCGGGTCCCCATTGACTTCAATGGGGTTCGGGGTCAAGTTCGGGGTCAAGTTCGAGCACGAACCCGGACTTGTTTTCAAAATTCGGCCGAACCCGCCGGACCCAAACATCCAGGTGTCCGCTCAACTCTACTCATATCAAATTATTGTAAATTCAGTGAAAATGGGCGAATTTCAAAAAAAGACCAACAATTCTCTTGTTTACTAAAGACAATTTCAGTCGGAATTTCAGTTAACCCCACCGAACGTGCATCATTTGGTTAGATGCATTCAGACTCTGGTTTTTAATCAGTGCTTTTTGCATCTGAACTTTATATACAAAGTATAGGAATATTCACAATGCACCTATTTTAAACAAAATCAGGACAAAATGTATATTATATAATGCACATTATTTCAAGTGAATGGTAATTTTAATTTTAAAAGTGCTATTTGCCCACAGGTAGCACTAGCAGACAGCAGGCAATTAGTTGAAAAATCCTTCGTGGAGCAAGTGAAAACCATGCGGTTGCTGACCAATGCTTTCTAGCCAACTGTCACATTAAAAAAAAAAGATTAAAAAGCCTGTGGAGTAAATATGACTCCCATCAAACTATAGGGAGATTAAAAACCTCACATATACTCCTGCCTGCCATGCCATGGGCAAGGCCATGTCTATTAAACATTGCTGCCTAGTTGCCAGAAAGGGCCCCGTCCCATGGGGAAGGTGCTTGTAATCTACCAGGGATGTACTTTCACACCTCTCCTGTGCAACTGATGTGTTAAATGTAATAATTGGGTTGGACAGATCACTGGTAATATCATTTCTATGGGCACATCCCACTGCCCCACTATACCACTATACCACAACTAATAAATGGTAGGTGGGAGCTATGGAGTAATACTGGGGGAGTGGATATGCCATTCTCTAAGCCTGCCCCACCCATGGGCTTCTTGTGGGGTTTATTAAAAGAAAGGGCTTAGTGGACTTGCTATTGCCCACTCTTTGTACTCCTCAACCATGGGGAATTCAATAAATTGATTTAACGTGCCATTGATAGCTCCCCCAGGTAAATTCCCCATACCAGTGATAGCTCCCCCAGGTAAATTTCACATGCCATTGATAACTCCACCAGGTAAATTCCCCATGCCATTGATTGCTTCCCCAGGTAAATTCCCCATGCCATTGATAGCTCCCCCAGGTCTCGTTGCTTATTTTTTATTAGACATGTCACAAACCATGGCATGACGGGTTGTAGCATAAAGGAGTTTTTAAACCCCCATAGGCTTTCCATTAAATTTTTTTACATTTCTTATATTTTTTTATTTTTTCATTTTTAATGTGGCCACATTGTAAACCAGTGCACCACATTTTTTTTTTTCAAATATTTGCTCACTTACGACAATTGCTTCCAGTGGACAAATAGTTTGGATTTTTAAAATCCAGGCCCTGATTTTAAGCAACTGAGGCTGAATTTTAACCTTTTGTGTCCAGATTTCAGCTGTTCAGCTGAAACACAGAATGAAACGCAGCTGAAACGCAGAAGAGCCTTATGTGCAAAATCCGGATATCATTAAATATAAGGTGAACAGTGTGGGGATTTTTTATAATTAAGTGTTCTTGCATAGCAAGACCACTTAATGTTATCTCACATATATATTATTATTATTCTTATTATAGCCAAATTTACCACCCTAACTCCTCCCACAGTTTTTACACTACATAGACTGTAATATACCGAAAGTGCAGATTGTTCCCGATTGGTGTGCTATTACTTTGTGGAACATTTCGCCGAATGGTTCACGGAATATCGTCGTTCTTGTGGCGAAATTGTTCCAATAGGAATGAATGGCAAAATGTTCAAAACTAGAGTGGGAGCTGGCAAAAGCAGAAAAATCAGGACATGATTTCTAAACTGCCACCACTCCCTCATTTTCAAGTCCACCTACACAAATCTTATATCAAAACGTTCAGCTTTCACCTGCTGCCACTAAACATGTCCACGGCTTAGCCATAGTCCTGATAGTTTTCACGATATGACCATTTGTTTGCAACTCACGCCGTCCATTGACATTCATTGAAACTTCACTCCAGCCAGCTTAAATTTGAAGGGCAATTTCTAAACTGCGACTGTGCCTTCATTTTTAATACTTCAGAGATATACTATGCATCAAAATGTAGGTCTGGGTCTTGTGATTCTCACAATATAAAGCTCTTCACTGTAGGATGTATAGTTTTTAAAATACGACTGTTTGAAGATGGCAACCGCCAAAATACTCTGACCTGTGCCAGGCTGGAGCGGCAAGTGATGTCATAGACAGGGCCTTTTGTACACCTGCTAATGTTTTTATAAATGTATGTTTTAATGTAATTGTGAAGCACTTTGGGCATCAACGTTGCAATTAAATGTGCTATATAAATAAATAATAAGTTACTCCGCCCACTCCAGTTGTAGACTACTGGTGGAGGCAAGAACACTTCACACAATTTCACCAGAAATTTTAGCTTTTCTAGTTATTATTATTCTTATTATAGCCAAATTTACCACCCTAACTCCTCCCACAGTTTTTACACTACATAGACAGTAATATACCAAAACGTGCAGATTGTTCCCAATTGGTGTGCTATTACTTTGTGGAACGTTTCACCGAATGGTTCACGAAATATCATTGTTTTTGTGGCAAAATTGGTCCCATAGGAATGGCGAAATGTTCAAAACTAGAGTGGGAGCTGACAAAAGCTGAAAAATCAGGACATTCATTGAAATTCCACTCTAGCCACCTCAAATTTGAAGGGCAATATCTAAACTGCGACTGTGCCTTCTTTTTAATATTTTAGAGACATACTATGCATGTAGGTCTGGGCCTTGTGATTCTCACAATATATCGCTCTTCGCTGTAGGATTTATAGTTTTTACAATACGACCGTTTGAAGATGTCAACCGCCAGTGAAGTGAGCAATTTGCAGCAGTTTGCTTTTAACCGCTCTTCTCTGCCCTATTTGAATTTGAATCTATTAGTTCCTGTTGGCAGTTGGTGGAATGTTCGAGGGATTTGAAAGATTTGAAAGCTCTTCTCTGCCCTTGCTGTAGAGTGAGTGAACCACACTCCAACCTTTCCACAGTTGCTCCAGCCACTCCAACCACACAACAGTTACTCAAGCCACTCCACCCAGTTACTCCGCCCACTCCAGTTGTAGACTACTGGTGGAGGCAAGAACACTTCACACAATTTCCCCAGAAATTGTAGCTTTTCTAGTTATTGTTAGTTTTTCATTTTTTTTATTTAGGCTTTGCTAATATTTTGTTTAATGCATTACATGCATAATGTGTTAAAAATACATGCCGGGTCAGATTTTAAAAACACAATCCACAACTGTATATGTATATAAAAAAGAAAAACCTAAAAACAAACAAGCTGTATTATTTGTGTATTTAAAGTGGAAATTCACCCACAATCAAATACCTTTGAGAAATAATTCCACTGGTATGAAGAAAAACAAATCATATGCCACTTGGAAGTAATATTTCACACTCGCTTGTATGACAAATGAGACATTTTCCTGGCAGTGATACCTATCTCAATAAAAAAGGCCTTAGGCTGTGTGATCATGTCAGAATCTGTGATTGATTTTATGAAGATCCCTTTTATGTGGCTTCAAAAAATCCTGCACTCTATAATTTTACTTTTTGAAAAGTCAATATTGTTTTTGAATGGAGACAGTTGACTTAATAAAGGAGAATAATTCCAATACGGACATTTGATGAGAAATTGTTAAAAGAATAGCACATGAAAGAAAATGTCAACATGCTGGATTGGAATGAAGAACATAGGGTCAAGTTCTTAAAATATGCAGAAGATAAACAGGTATTGAAGCAGTCTTTGTAAAATGCACTATTCTGTAGCTGTGTTCTCAATTTTGACTGATTCAGATAAGGATAAACATTATGAAGCAACACTGTATAGTGTACAATGCAGGGTTATGGAAGTGTTAGGAAGAGGTCAAGGTCATGCATAGAAAACAAAGCTGGTGCACCCCAAGGTTAGTTACTAGTTACTCAGTCTTACTTTAGTGTCTCCATCCTCTCGCCCACTTAGGTAAAATTTCCATGCAACGGGTTTACTTGGAAAGACCAATTCTAGTGATTAGTTATTGTGATAAACTGAGCCTCGTCACGTGTTCTTGGAGGGGCCTGCTGGCCAGCCTCTTGCCCACCGACTATGGGCCAGGTCAGAGACTGTAAAGACCCATATTTTATTCCCCCTGGTTCGGCACTTTCCATTAATGCGCATGGAACCAAACGCTAGCTCCCTGGCGGCCTTTCGCATGGACCAAAACCGCGATT